GCGTGATTGTTTTTGTTTAATTAATAGAAAATATACTTATCATATAACTAGCCGCGTTTTAATCTTAGCCTAATAGAGTACGCAACTAGCAATAGATTTGTTCGTTGGGACTGCACTAGTTGCCAGAAGCAATTCAGTGCTTCTAAAATCTTTATCCAATAACGTGAAGAAAAACATATCGAGCAATTTGAGAATCAAAAGTTAATAATCGCTTGAAATTAAAGATGGCGTTAGAAAAAGTTTATTTGTAGTATGAATCATAGTATTCATGAAACCATTTCATTTGATAACCCGCTCATGAAAATCGGAATGTAAATGACAGAGTTACAGCTTGGGGCGTTTTTTATCTGACACCCTGTATATTTATACAGTGAAATTCCCCTAACTCGACTCACTTGACCTAACTCATTTGAAGCCTAGTCAAACCCTTGAGCTTACGAAAATTATTCGACACTGTATAATTTGAGATATAGAAGTTCGAGTTAGGGTTATTTCACTGTATATGCATATAAATATATTTTTACCTTATTTCCAGGTGCAGTTCCATCAGAATCAGTAGCAACTAAATCATAAATCGCCGTTCCAATGGCAGTATCATCCTCCAACATAATCGGTTGAGGAATAATGGTAAAAACCGGAGGAATATCATTCCGATCCTCAACTTTAACAAGAACTCTCGTCGTACTCCCATTTCCATCAGACATATTTTCCAAAGTCCCAATCACCAAAGTATGCTCACTTTCCTTTTCATAATCCAACCCTCTCGTTGTATAAATCGCGCCGCTACCCTCATCGATCCTAAATAAATCTGTCGGTCCGCGATGAATAACGTACGTAATTTTTTTGATTGTATCCGGATCGTGGGCCATCACATCCGTTACGAAAGCGTCGGGAACGTTTTCGGGTACGGTAGCTTCGTATTGGTCTTTAGAGAAAACGGGAAGTTCATCTTCAACGTCTAAAACGTTAACGGTAACCGTGGCTGTTGCTATCCTCGGATCTAACGCGCCGTCTTTTGCTGTAACGACAAATTGATAATTTTTGGTTGTTTCGAAATCGAGAGCTTTATTTGTTGTGATTTCCCCAGTTTGATTGTCGATGTTAAAAGGAAGATCGGTTGGAATCATGTAAGAAACGATCGCGTTGATTCCTTCATCAGCGTCAACAGCTTCGACTTTACCAACGATCACGTTTGTTAATCCTTCTTTTACCGTAAAATTATAAGGATCGTTAATAAATTCGGGATTTTTATCGTTTATGTCGGTTACTTTTACATTAACGGTAGCTGTACTTGATAATTTCCCCGCATCTTCGGCTTTTATTATTAATTGGTATCGCGTTAAATCTTCGCGATCTAATTTTCTAATTACTGTGATTACCCCGGATTTTTGCCCGATTGCGAATTGTCTCAAATCGTTTCCGGAAACTATAAAATAAGTTACTGGGTCTTCTTCGGGATCGATTGCTAAAACTGTTGCAACTGTTGAGTTGATCGTAGCACCCTCGCTTACTTCAATATCGTAAACGTTTTGCTCAAAAACTGGACTTTGAGTGTTTGGACCAGGACTTACTGTAACTTCAACAATCGCTTGGCTATATAAACCACCTTTATCGGTCGCTTGGACCGTTAAGCTGTATTGCTCCCCAGCATTTAATTTTCGAATACTTTCAATTTGACCGGTTATTGGGTCAATCATAAATTTATTGTTTCCGTTATTTGAAACGTGATAAATTGAGTAAGTGATTTGGGCGTTTTCTTCTTCGTCGTTGTCGGTGGCTTGGATTTGGATTACTTTTCGTTTTGTTTCTCCGGCTGGGACGGTTGTGGGGGGGATTGAGGGTAAAACCGGGGGGTTATCGTTGACGTCTTTGAGATTAACGGTGATGGAAATTGGGGCGCTTGCTGCAACGCCGTGTTTTTCACGGGCAACGATTTGAAAGCGGAATTTCCCGGGATTCGGGGGATCCCGATCCAAATTGTTTTCGTTGACGGTTAAACGGCCGTTTTTGTCGATGTTGAAGGAAGGGGTGGTTAATTCGAAGGTGTAAATTGGTTTTGGGTCATCTTCGCCCTAAAAGATAATTAATAAAATAAATTTTTTTTAATTAAATTAATACTAACAAAATCTTTATCGATAACTGAAACCATCACGGGGTCCCCTTTTATATCTAAAACATTCGTCCCAATCGGTGAGTTTTCGTTAACCCAACCCTCTTCTGATGAAAAAACGATTTCCGGCGGATTAGCATCGACTGGTTTCACCGTTATTAATAGTTTCGCAGTGGTGGATCGTTTCGCTTCGGAAACTTCTTGCGCTTTAATGATAACGTTAAACATCTTCGTGGTCGATGTATCGACCGCTTTAATTTGATGGACGCTTCCGGTTTCGGGGTCAATTCGGAAAAATTCCGAATAAGAATTTGGGGTTCCACTCAAAAATGTGTAACGAATCGGGGAGTTTATCGTATCCATGTCGATTGCTTGAATTTTTTCAGGGGATATGTTTAAAACACCGTGTAAGACTCCACTAGAAACCTTAATCAAAGAGAAAATACATTAAAATTCGATGAATAACAATTAAAACAACTCGGGGAAGTTTCCCCGAGTTTATTTACGAACATTCTATACTCTATTGACTAATTCGGAGGAGTAAAATAAAAAGTTACGTTTCCACAGTGTAATTTTTCAAAGCTATTTTTTTGGCGGGAGTTTTAAAACGAGAGAGGATTTTAAGTTAACTGTAGTTACGAATTTAATTACTTGTTTGTTTAAATATAATAAAAACCATGGCGTACCTATTTACTTTGTCCCACATAAAATGCAAATAACAAATAAAACTAGTCTAATACTAGTACTAGAACTAACACTAGACGGCTGGTAGGTGGTAGGTAGCGCTAGTTAGCATAAAATATCACTAGAACTAAAACTAGAACTAACACTAGACCTTCATGTCCCAATTCTTTGAAAAAAAAGTAGTATTTTGAAGAGAAATAGAAAATGTCAAATGTTCAATGTTTCTTTTATAACCCCAGAAACTTTCATGTCGCAATTCAAAAGCCTTTTGGAGAAAAACTGTTTTTTACTTCATCTTCAAAAAACGTTAAATTGATTGCCAGTTTATAAAATTTGTTATAAAAAGAATCATTCAACCTGGAAACTTAAAATTTGGTGTAACCCAATCTCAAATGTTCTTTTATAACCCCAGAAAATTTCATGATTCAATTCTAAATCGTTTTGGAGAAAAAGATTTTTTTACTTCATCTTCAAAAAACGACAAATTGAGATTGCCAATTTATGAAATTTTTTATAAAAAGAATCATTCAACCTGGAAACTTAAAATTTGGTGTAACCCAACCTCAAATGTTCTTTTATAACTCCAGAAAATTTCATGACTCAATTCTAAACCGTTTTGGAGAAAAAGATTTTTTTACTTCATCTGCAATCAATGTCAAATACAAATTTGGCGATTTTTAAAATTTTTGATAAAAAGAACCGTTCAACCTGGAAACTTTAAATTTGGTATAGCCCAACCTCAAATGTTCTTTTATAACCCCAGAAAGTTTCACGTCTCAATTCTAATTCGTTTTGGAGATAAAAATTTTTTTTATTACATCTTCAAAAAACGTCAAATACAAATTTGGTGATTTATAAATTTTTTTATAAAAAGAACAGTTCAGCCTGGAAACTTAAAATTTGGTATAACCCAACCTCAAATGCTCTTTTATAACCCCAGAAAGTTTCATTTCTCAATTCTTATTCGTTTTNTTTTTATAAAAAGAACAGTTCAGCCTGGAAACTTAAAATTTGGTATAACCCAACCTCAAATGCTCTTTTATAACCCCAGAAAGTTTCATTTCTCAATTCTTATTCGTTTTGGAAAAAAATGTATTATTTTACTTCATCTGCAAAAAACGTCAAATACAAATTTGGCGATTTTTTACATTTTTGATAAGAAGAACCGTTCAATCTGGAAACTTAAAATTTGGTATAACCCAACCTCAAATGTTCTTTTATAACCCCAAAAAGTTTCATGTTTCAATTCTAAATTGTTTTGGAGAAAAACTTTTTTCTACTTCATCTACAAAAAACGTCAAATTAAGGTTGCCAATTTATAAAATTTTTTATAAAAAGAATCGTTCAACCTGAAATCTTAAAATTTGGCATAACCTAACCTTAAATGATCTTTTATAACCTCAGAAAATTTCATGACTCAATTCTAAATCGTTTTGGAGAAAAAGATTTTTTTACTTCATCTGCAATCAATGTCAAATACAAATTTGGCGATTTTTAACATTTTTGATAAAAAGAACCGTTCAACCTGGAAACTTTAAATTTGGTATAACCCAACCTCAAATGTTCTTTTATAACCCCAGAAAGTTTCACGTCT